AGGCTACAGCCTGTTATCAGTGAGACGACAAAACCCCGACACTAGGCTACAACCTGTTATCAGTGAGACGACAAAACCACGACACTAGGCTACAAACTGTTATCAGTGAGACGACAAAACCACGACACTAGGCTACAAACTGTTATCAGTGAGACGACAAAACCACGACACTAGGCTACAGCCTGTTATCAGTGAGACGACAAAACCACGACACTGGGCTAAACCTGTTGTCAGTGAGACGACAAAACCACGACACTGGGCTACAACCTGTTATGAGTGAGACGACAAAACCCCGACACTGGGCTACAACCTGTTACCAGTGAGACGACAAAACCACGACACTGGGCTACAAACTGTTATCAGTGAGACGACAAAACCCCGACACTGGGCTACAACCTGTTACCAGTGAGACGACAAAACCACGACACTGGGCTACAACCTGTTATCAATGAGACGACAAAAGAAGAAGAAGAAGACTGTTGTGAAGTAGCATAAAGTCCGGACCAGACAATTTTGTGAACATATGGCAGTTATATATTGCAGTTAGTATCATTAAAATATATTCATAGAGACTTCAAACGCTTGAATTTGCAGAAGAATATTGAGAACTCATTGCATAAAAAATATAAGTAATTCATTTGTTTGTAACGAGGCCAAACACACGGATACCTTATTATAAACATCACACAGAGGAGGGTGTCATATTCACACAGAGATAACATTTTTTAACATCAGACAGAAGAGGGTTTCATATTCACACATATAACATTTTATAAACTTCAGACATAAGAGGGTTTCATATTCACACATATAACATTTTATAAACTTCAGACAGAAGAGGGTTTTATATTCACACATATAACATTTTATAAACTTCAGAAAGAAGAGGGTTTCATATTCACACATATAACATTTTATAAACTTCAGACAGAAGAGGGTGTCATATTCCAACAGATATCTTTTTATAAACATCAGACAGAAGAGGGTGTCATATTTTCGAGCGCAACCGTGGTAATTAGATAGATTCATAGAGCTAGAGATTGAGGAAGACAAACTTAGAATGTGATTTACTGCCTCTTATCTGGAAAGGTATCAGCTCATGACCATATACATACCTTTGGAAATCAAAAAATGCAGAAAAGTACGGTTATTTTCTGTTTCTGCTTCTACGTTCGCCCTTGGATAGATGGTTGGCACGTTGTACTTTGGTAGTGTAGTAGCACTTAATGGCGGCCAACATGACGTTGTTAACACCGAGTGGTGATTGGTTTAGTAAACTTTAGGCTTAGCACTATCTTCACGATGAGGTCGCCTATTGGCTCACAGGTTGACGACTTCGTCGCCGGTCGGGACAGTATTTGAATACGTCTCCTGTGATAGCATCAACACTGCAGGAGCTCTTTTCATGGCTCTTGATGGCGAACAATGCTATGCCATTTTATATGGCACACATAAGCTAGTCACAACTATAACCTAAAGCTTCCCTTTCGTGGATGCTGGCTGAACCTGACTATTTTTTTTCCAGCAGCAAAGCAACGGAAGGAAACTGTCTGCACAATGCGCCAGTCTTCTTCTTTTGCCTATCTATACCCCAATGGAGCATAGGCCCTCAACTGACTCACGTCAAGTCGTTCTATCCTTCGCCATTACACGGAGCTCTGCCCATATCCTTCCCATCTTTTTAATTTCATACTCCAGTTCTCTTCTCAGTGTGTTTTTTGGCCTTCATTTATTCATATGCCCCTGTGGGTTCCAATGCAAAGACATTCTAGTTATGCTGTTTTCCTGTTTTCTCAGTGTGTGTCCTATCCAACGCCAGCGTCTTTTCCTCACTCTTGGTACACTGGAGCCTGTTTAGTTCTCTCCCAAAGCTCTACATTAGTTATTCTATCATACCACTTAACTACCTCTATTCTGCGCAGGCACCAGTTAATGAATGTCTGTAATTTATTAATAATTGCCTTAGTTGTTCTCCATGTTTCAGCCCCATACACAAGTACTGATTTGACATTAGAATAAAAAATTTAGTTTAGTATTTCTTTTAATTTCTTTTGACCTCCACAAATCCTCTAATGCGTCAGTAGCGGAAATAAACCTCTTTGAGTGACATTCAAACCCACCAGGACAGAACAACTAGCGATAAACACACATTGACACAAAGTGCTGCCATATGGATGAAAAAAAAAAAACGTTTAGTATAATATTTTAGGGCCCGCTAATACAGTCGGGGTGTGGATTTAAAAAAAAAAGTCACACACTGGGGCGGGTGAGATACATCGCTAAAAAACTTCTATATTTAACTTCTTCTTCTTCACTTCCTCTTTTACCGCTGTGGGTGTCAAAGGAGATATAAGGTTCTGTTTCTAGCTCTTCTGGCTGCCTCGACCATAGGCACATCGTGCTGTTGTAGAGTTTCTCTGATGTTATTCTTCCATCTTATTCTTGGTCTACCCCGTGCTCTACGTCCCTCTTCTCTTTCCATGAATGCTTTGTATGGTATGGTGTCACAAGGCATTCTCTCTAAGTGGGCAAACCATTTCACTTGCTGTCTTTGTATGTAATCCAGAATTTGTTCTGTGCCTACTTTTTCTCTTATGATCTCATTCCTGATCTTATCTCTTATGGTCACTCCTACAGCCCTTCTCAGACATCTCATTTCCATGGCTACTAATTTTCTTTTATGGTTTGTTGTGAGTGACCATGTCTGGCACTGGTAGCACAGAGTTGGAATAAATATGCTTTGAATAAGATGTCTCTTTGTGCTAATTGGGATTGTCTTATGCTGTAAGAGGGGGGCTAGCTGTCCTAATACTTGGTTTTGTTTACTGCATCTAATGTCAATTTCTTTATCCAATTTCCCATCTTCGGTAAATGTAGTTCCCATATATTTAAACTCAGATGCCTGTTTAATGCCTTTGTATTATATTACTATGTTTAGATCTGTCTTCTTTTTTCCTATTGACATTACTTCTGTCTTTTCAGTGTTGATTCTCATATTATTTGTTTTACATTCTTCATTCATGGAAGTTAGATGTTGTTGCAATGTCATGGCTGTATCTGCTATCAAGGCCTGGTCGTCTGCAAGGAGTAATTCGTTGATCTTACTAAGATCTTCATTCATGGGCTTGGCATTCTTGCATATACTGTCGATGTAGGTGATAAACAACAGTGGTGATAAGACACACCCCTGTCTTACTCCAGATGTCACTGTGAAAAGATGAGATGTTCCCTGATTTATTCTAACTACACTTCTACAATCCCTGTATAAAATTTTGCACACTTCGATGAGGTGTTCGCTTACTCCATATCTTGCCATTATTTTCCATAATAATTGTCTGTCGACTCTGTCAAATGCCTTATCCTGGTCTACGAATGCCACAAATAAGTTCTTATTGTATTCAATGTTCTTTTCTATTAACTGTTTAAGTGTGAAGATTGCATCTGTGCAGCTTCTATTTCTCCTAAATCCCATCTGTTCTTCTGCCAGCTGTGGTTCTATCACTGGTCTCAGTCTTGTTTCTATTATCTTGGCATACATTTTGCCAACATGGCTTAAAAGAGAAATGCCTCGATATTGACCGCATTCTCGTTTGCTTCCTTTGTTCTTCCACAATGGTATAACTATTGCATGTTGCCAATCAATAGGGGCCGTTTGTTGTACCCATGCTGCATTGAATATTCTGTGAAGCCATCTGATGCTGCTTTCACCTGCTGCTTGAATTATTTCTGTTGGTAATCTATCAGCTCCTGGTGCTTTATATTTGGGAGACTGCTTAATGACTTTTTCTATTTCATCCATTAGTATGTGTGGTTCTAACACTGTTGCTCTGTGCTCTTCAGTTGTTCTTTCCTGATGATCTCCTAGAGGATTAAAGAGCTCATTGAAGTATTCCCTTCATCTTTCTGCTATGTCGGGTGGATCTATCAATGGCCTTCCTGTCTTATCATTAATTATTTCAGTGGGGTTGTAGCTCTCATCTCTTTTCCGCATATTTTTAACTACTTTGAAAAATTTTCTGCCGGCTGTTTTCTCATTTTCTGCTAGTGACTCACCGAAACGTTCCCAGGATGCTTGTTTTGCTTTCTTGACACTCCTGTTGGTTTCTCTCCTTTGCAGTCTATACTTTATATAATCTTCTTCTTTATTTGATTGTATCCACTGTTTATGTAAGTCATTTTTCATTTTAATTGCTTCTTTTACTTCTTCTTATCACCAAGGTGAATATTTGTTATTTCCCCGTCTGTTTCCACTCTTCCGTTTTCCACATAATTCTTCTGCAATACTAAGCATAGTGTTTTTATATATACTCCATTCTTCCTCAATATTGCCAACTACATGTGGAAGTTGTTTGAATGCTGTCTCTACTTTCTGTTGTAACTGTTCTTTTACTCCTTCCTATTTCAGATTTGCTATCTTGATGAGATCCTTGTTTTTGTTTAATTTCTATATTTAACTGATTTACATATATGTCGGTCTCGCGTAAACTAATATAAGAGAATTACTACAAAAAAAGAGAGACAACTGAAATACTTTGGCTACATTTAAAGACATAACACACTTTTAAAAACCATACTGGATGGAAAAGTAGAAGTCAAGAGAGCAATAGATAGGCAACGATACAAGTGAGAGGACAACATCAAGAGATGGACGGGCAGTAGTCTGAGAGCTTGTTCAATCAGGATAAGAGACAGTGTGCTGGAGATCCTTTGCAGACAACTTTCATTGTGAAGACGGCACATGATTCATTGAATATAAGATAACAGAGCGAAAGGAAAAGTTATGAACTGCTCAACACTAGGCACCTAAAGAAGAATGTTCATTTCAACATTAAAGATCCAACATCTTACACAATCTGTAAACTCTGAGAATCACTGTAACTTAGGGAAATTCTCTCCTCGTCTTCAGTAATTTCTTGTGAGCCTTTGAACCACATGAGCATTCGTCTTGGATTGCCTCCCTTGCTGGCATTACAATTAAGTGTAATGTTGTCACCCCTGGCAGCAAACTGTGTCCCGGTGATGACGATCTCTGCAGAGATGAGAAGAGATAAATAACAAAGATAATTATAAAATTAACCTATGGTCGATTTCTGTAAAGCTAAGAGTAAATTTAACTATCACCGACACCACACAACCGACATTATGTTGTTTGGTTAGTCTAAAAGCCGAGCACATTTCCTACTCTCCTTTTTTTCACAGGTAGTTGTTGTACATAGAAAAGACAGAAGTAATGTCAATATGAAGAAAGAAGCAGAATTTAAACATAGCATTAGAGCATACATAAATTAAACAGGCATTTGAGTTTAAATATCTTGGAATAACATTAAATGAAGATGGAAAATTGGACGAAGAAATTGACATCTGATGCAGTAAAGCTGGACAAGTATTGGGACAGCTGGCCCTCCCCCACTTACAGCCCAAGACAAAGTCAATCAGCACAAAGAAACATCTTAAATAAAGTATATTAATCCCAACCTTATGCTATCAGTCCCAGACGTGGTCACACACAACAAAACATTAAAAAAAAATTAGTAACCATGGAAATAGAGTGTCTGAGAAAGGATGTAGGAGTGACCAGAAGAGATAAAATCAGGAATGAGGTTGGCTAGAACCAATTCTAAATTACATTTAAATAACCTCTACAGCACCACGATTTGTTTGTGGTCGAAGAAGCCAGAAGAGCTCGAAGCAGGACCTTATATCTCCCTCGACACCCGAAGCGGTAAAAGAGGACGTAAAAAAGAAGATAAGAAGTTGTTGCAGCGACGTATTGATCCAAATTATTAGTTTAACTCATTCTGGGCCTAGCGTTTAACATTTTTGCATTCAGACAATGGGTACTATAAATCATAAATTCTCTGGATAAAGTGGTTGAAGTAGTCAAAAGAGATGATCTATGGTGGATTTATGTGATGATAGAAGTAAGTTAAATGTATCTGACTGACTGAATGATTTTAAACCTCACCAGGACGGCAAAAGAAGCAATAAACAACCGGTGACACAAAGTGCCACCATGCGGATGAGGATCATCCGTGGAGAGGTCCCAGAAACCCCGTTCAGCCGTTAGGCCAACTTTCAGGCCCGGCTCTTTTTAGGGCCCCCAGTAAAGGCCAGGGTAGGGCTTTAAAAAAAAATTGCATCCCACAAGGGGTTCGCAGGCGCAGGATTGATTAAAAAGAGTAAGGTTAATATGTGGTGATTTTGTAAACTAAAAAGTAAATTTAACCATTATTCGATTTTTTCATACCGTTGTAAAGAACGATAAACACCATGAAACCACCAACTTCATGGCTGTATGAGGAGAATGTTGAATTGTGATTGAGGAATCGACATCACAGCACTCAGCACACCCCTTTGAGCGCTCAGTCCCCATCTTCAGCAGCAAGCGAAAAGTTCCGATTTCGATGGCGCCAGTAACAATCTGATTGTACATTCGTATCACCTGTATAAGTGGAGATAACCAGTAATATTCCTAGAGGCATTTATGTCCGGAGAACATGGAAGCTGTGAACATTTCAGTGTCATGAAATCATCCGGTGGCTCCAGCTGTAAAAGAAAGCTCTATTCCTCTCATACCTTTTAGGACAGCAGGATACACACGGGTATTTGAGGTTTGAGGTTTGAACAACGGATCAAAATCTTAGCACACTGGTAGTAACACATAAGTGCTCCGTTCTTCTTCTAACTCAAGTCTGAGTCCGAAGAAGCTCAGCAAAGTGCACAGGCTCTGTAGCACCAGCGAGGATCATGAAATACTTTTTAACTCAAAATTGTGCCTGGGCAGCGCCGTTAGGCTACTCTTTTCAGTTTCCAACTGCCAAGAGATTTTTCACGTGCGCAGCAATGCACACTAGCGTCCGATCTCACTACCCAGAGACCAGGAAGAATTACTAGGAGTCCAAGTCCACGTGAAAAAAATCACAGCCCTTATCGGGAAATGAACCCAAAACCTCCTGCACTCGAGGCGGACACCATGTTTCCAGACCACCTAGCCTCTTTACACAAGGGTAATATATGGTCTAGCGGTTTTGGTGGCCTTCGTTATAACTTTATAGGGGTTAAGCGAGGTATCTTGGTTTTATGACTGTTGAATCAGCTTCCAAGATGTGGCTCTTCAGGTATGTTATTAAACGTCATCCAGTTTCGTTAAGCTAGTTATTAGTCGTCATCCAGCTTCGGTAAGCTCGTTATTAGTCGTCGTTTACGACATGGTTTATAACGAGCAAAAGAGCAATGTGTTTAACCCCTCCCCCACCCCCACCCCATTCGTCTTTCTCATCGGACACTAAAACTCATTTGTAAATACGACCTTTATCAGAAGCCAGTTGGTAATATTACAGAAGTAAAAAGGTAAACGAGCTGAACACCAAGGAGAACTGGCTTATAAACAGCATCATGTCCCGAAAGTTGAAGTATTTCGGCCACATCAAGCGTCATGATGGCTTGTGAAAGACGGTGATAGAGGGTACAGTTTGTGGAAGGCGAGGCAGGGGTCGACCATTGCGAAGATGGTTACAGGAAATTGAGCATGCATTTTCATTGAAAGCACATGGGGCCGGAGAGCTGGCTAGGGAAAGGAATATTTTCAGGGGGACTTGCTGACTGATAATGAAAATGGTAAAAGTAAAGGATCCTTTTACTACGCTTTCAGGTGTATTGGGTAAATAGGGCTCGACCTAAATGTTACAGACCAAAAGGCACTTAGTGAATGATGGGGTCAGCATCACGCCGGTCGCCTTTACTTCCCATGACTGTACCTGGTACCCACTAAAGGCTTGGTCAACCTGGGAGCCAAGGTCTTTCTGAAAAAGTCAGGACCCCAACCCACGAGCTTCCTATTCGCAGGCGAACGTCCAACCACTCGACCACGGTGACTTCAAATATTACAGAAGTGCTCTCAATATTTTATACAATTTATTTATACAGATTTGCGAGTATAAATGGCGGGGAATCCCCCCCCCCCCCTTTTCCTCCTCTCCACCCCTTTCTTTCGTTCAATGCTATTTCTTTACACAAAGAAAATTAGAAAATAGCCTACCTTGTGAGAAAGGCCAGAGTCAAGGTAGAGACAAATGGCAGAACACTGTAGGAACTAATCGATGCAAAAATGATTAGACAGCAGTTGCCAGCTAGGACAGGTAACTCGTCCCTACCTCATTTACCAGCGGTAAATCTCCAACAGAGATATTAGAGGAAGAATAAATGAGGATTGAAGTAAACCTGCCAGAAACCCACGACTCCTGTGAATTATATTTATAAATAATAATCCTTGACAACTTACCCCCTGCAGGCGACCGAATTGGCAAGAAAAAGGATGTCACTTAAAGAGGCTGTTTTTTTGTTAAGTTTTACGGTATTTTTTTTTTATGTAAGCGGTGCTCTAAATGTTCTATAACTGCTTTCGGGAATTTACAGATTTCGTGTCAAATACCACAAAGGAGGCAGAAGCTGTATCTTCTAAGAGGCAACTGTGCTATGTGTGTGTGTGTGTGTGTGTGTGTGTTTTTTTTACCTCCATAAGTCCGACAATCCAATGGTATATACGCCGATGACTGACAGTTTTAAACGCCACCTTTTTAAGAGGTAGCGATAGATAAAAACTCTGCTGACGGTATTTGTAGCTGAATTTTAGTTTCATTTAATGGGGTCTGCATACGAATAAACCAGATCAGAAAAACGGATCTTCACGTAGAATTGAGGTCATGGAACACACCCACAAATGGACGAACAACCAGGACTTTGCATCGGGTTTACTGCCACTGAATGCAAAGAATGAGTTGTGTTAAGTTATGATTTGGTTATCTCAACAGCACTTCGGACACACACACATAGGTGTTCAGATTCAACATATTCATCAGTGTAGCGCTGTTAATAGTGTCAGTCCTATGCTCGTTGACAAGACTTCTTGTGTGCCCGGTGTGCCTCTTTTGCTTGGCTGTCCTGATCTTTACTCCCAATTCTCGTCTTTTTAGCATCGACATGGACACGTTGCTTCCAAACTTCTCGAAACGTCCTATCTCTCTAAGGGCATTGACAATGTCCGTGTCATCCATAGGTCAACCATATGCAATTATAGCAAAACATGCTAGTCTTTCAGCTCTTTCATTGCCAACAACACCTTCATCCCTGGGTCATATGTGAAGGTAACTGCACACACAGGAGAGAAACAAACCTAATGGCTCTCACAATAACTGCATGCAAATAAGTCAGACCTGTGAAACGGATGTGCACATAACACTCAGTTTCTGGAACAGGACTAGAGTCCAGAAGTGGACGAACAACCAGAACTTTCCGCCGAAGTTTAAAGCCGGTGAACGCAAAGAAGAAGAAGAAAAAAAGAAGATGGTAACTGTTTTTAAAAAAGTCTTATGGTCTATTGCCTTTATTTTTTTTTCCCGAAAGTTACTTGAAGAGGTTACAGCAGATACTCTAAATTCTCATTTCAAAATGTCGACAACTTACAATTTTAAAGGCCATTTAATAGGTTCTATATCTGCTCAATTAAAAAAAAAAAAACGTCTGAAAAGTTTAGAAAACTACTCTATTACAAAGACAATCCAGTAACCTTCCTAGTATCCCATGTAAATCCGTTAATCTTCAAAATGATTACCATAATATTGACTGTGATAACATGGTGTTTATTACGTTCTGAACCCAGTCTTCTGCTCAGCTGTAGACATTCAAGTTATCTTTGCAGGCTCCATGCTCTTTGCAGGATTTAATCACCTTAATCTACGATTCTCTAAGTAACTTTTCCCGTTGTAGCTCTACCATTTCTTTGTTTATTCTAACTACACTGATTGGCACCTTGGCACCGTGTTTCCAGACGATAGTGTTATATTGCGCTATGACGTGGCATGGGCCTCACAGCCCATGGCGATGACCAGTGTATAACCATCAAAACCCGCTGGTGTTGAGAAAAGTCTTCCACAATGATAGCATGGGATTTCAAGACCATTGTTGTCAAAATTTGTGTTTTGCCTGTTTCTTCTCAGACGCTTAGCTTTCATCTTGTTGCAATCGTTTCTTCCTTTATTCTCACTCCCTTCCTTGTGTGGCCCCTCAACACAGCACAGTCCATGGCATTTTGTTCCCACGAGTCTACCATAATACCTGTATCATTCATGTCGCGCTTGTTCACATCTTTATATTGTAATAGAGGTTGACCTCGACATCTTCTACTCGTCTTTACTTCACCAGGAAGGATGTCCTTGCTAAACCGACAGCTCATTATAATCGTCAACACATGCCTTGCTGGCTGACATAGGCCATCATGCTTCTCTAAAACCCACGACCTTCAATTTCACGTATCAGGTAACGTTCTGACATTGCCTCCATGCCACGACAACGGATTACGAGAATCTGCATACGTCGTCTTTCGCTATGTCTGTTTCCTACAGATCTTTCCAGTGGTTACAACATATTCTAGTGTCCTTCTTCTCGTATCATGGTCGACAAATAACAACTCTCTCATTCCCAAGTGTTTGTTGTAAGTTTCACCGAGGTATTGATTGGGCCACACTTAGTGGTGTATCAGAACAAGGACTCCTACTTGTCATATATAAAACCTTTCCAGGTGTATTATAGTAACTAGGATTCAAATACTGGCCTGGCAAACGTAGCAAGAGGAGGAGGAGGAGGGAAGAAGGGTTTTTAAACAAAAACCTCATTCGTGTGCATATGTTGGCGCAAGTCAAAAGTTGAGCTATCATCTTTAAAACTGTCATTATAATGTCATCGTGTTTGTCTGCACCGTGATGTCAGGTGCTTATATTTCTGGCACCTATAACAACAATATTGACAGGTTACAAGACAAGGACATGGCAACTGTAATTTCTGTCACATTTTATATGTTTTCATTTGAAGCCCCCTATTAGACAGGATTAACGTTTCATTCGAAGTAGGAGTCATTTCAGATATCTAATTTCACAAACTGTGACCTGCCTCTTATTTGCCTTGGAGAATCTACGAGACTAAGTTGGATAATTCGAAATCTCTTGAAAGATGGAATATAATTGCAACATCCCATAATTTCACATATTTCCGAATTTCGTATGTATAGAATAATGTCAGAAGCAATTGACGAGTTCGATAACTCCTAGATCCAGGGAGACAAGTTCAGGCTAGTTGTGATGTTTGTCTGGTTAGAACTGAACGTGTGGGAATGCATGGGCATTGATGCGTGCTCCTCAATTAACAAATATTTGAGTTGGAGTCAGTTTTCTGTTGACGCAATGATGTCCATGGTCTGGGAAACAAGCACACGGACGTACATGTATAAATGGAGAGTCAGAGATAAAGGAAGAGATGAGAACAGAGAGGAAAACACAGAAGGAGAACACACACACACACACACATACAGAGAGAGAGAGAGAGAGAGAGAGAGAGAGAGAGAGAGAGATACAAAGAAATGGACAGAGAGGGTAAGAGAAAACCAACGAACTTTATCTCCAAAAGGACGTAAATTGGGCATGCAGGCCCGTCTTACATTCGGCCCTTTCATACGATCATCTTTCACACGGCAATTGTATTGTATATATCTAGATTATTACGTTCTTATATCAAAAGTCAGTGTATGAATGTAAATTAAATCTTCTTTCTTTTGTCAAAATCTGCTTGTGCCGCTAGGCGTCGCAGTCTATCAGATGATCGGCAACCGAGCCAGGGCGCGCTCAGTCGCTTCATATGCCGTGATGTTATGAAGTCTCAAGTTGTCCGTGACTCCTTCAATCCATCTTCTTCTTGGTCTTCCCCTGCCTCTTGGTGTTTCGATTTTCATGTTGTATGCTCTTGATGCTGGCATCGTTGGTTCCATTCTCATTAGGTGACCAAACCATTTCATTCTTTGCTTCTCAATAAATTTAACGATTTGTATGGTTCCAATAGTTCTTGTAATCAAATCGTTTCTCACTCTATCTCTTCTGGTTTTATTCGCAGCCATTCTCAAACATCTCATTTCACAGGTGGTTAGTCTTCTCTCGTGTTCTTTTGTTAATGTCCAAGTCTGACATTGATAACCTAATGTCGGTATAAAGATTGTATTTATAATTTGTCTTTTTATCTCAGCTGTGTTTTAAAATTGGGGCAAGCTGGTATGCGACATTGTTGGCTTGTTGGATTCTTGCTTCGATCTCTCTGTCTATTTTACCATTGGATGTATAGATACTTCCCAAGTATTTAAATTAAATATAGATGGCAAATACGTACCTCCAAAAAGTAAACAACCATTTTCCCCACTCCTGTAGACTATTATGTAAATGGGATCAGACCTATTCTTAATAGACCATCCAGCACTCGGCACTCACATTAATTCAACATCATTCCGGCCTCCTTTGCTTCCCATGATTATACCTGGTACCCATTTCAGAATGGGTCGACCTAAGGATGACTGTTTTGAGAAGTTTACTCACTCAGTTTACTCAAGCTACTGATAGCATGCTGATTGTTTGCTTTGAACCGGCGTCTGTTTTTTCATGTACCGCAAATCAGGCAAAATGAAAACTAAATGTTTGTTTAAATACAAAAAAAAAAAAAAAAACTGACAAGGACACGATTATAACAACACTGCATGCCAAATTTCAACGACTTACACCGAACGGTTACTGGGTGACAGATATTCAAAGTTTGGCAGGATTTATGGAAGGTACTTTAGGGATTTAGCTGTAACACGTTCACTTGTCTTTTTCTCTTTAAAGTTGTCTTGTCATCAACATTTCAAGTTTATTTCTCCATCAAATCTTGAATATCCTGCCTTCCTACATTTAATGTTTAGTGTCTATTTGCAGTTGCCCCGAATATTTGGACAGAGTTCTTTATTCTTGTTTCAAATTGTCCATGGCAGAGATTATAAAGAGAAGTCACATTTTTGATGATTTAAGATGTTTCCTGGTTGTCTGCGTGTTGTCAGTATTACATTGTCAAAAAGTAATATTGACTACAATATTTAACACAAAGACGGAATGGAGTGAGCAGCAAGAGATGGCAAACGACGGCTTTGCGTAAGTTGGTTGAGGGTTTAATCTGCAATGTGAGTTAAGATCAGAGAAGAATAGAAGAAGAAGAAATTAAAAAAAAAAAAAAGAAACAGAAGAAGAAAAATAATAATAAAAAGAAGCAGAAGAAGCAAAAGAAGCAGCAGAAGCAGAAGAAGAAGAAGAAGAAGAAGAAGAAGAAGAAGAAGAAGAAGAAGAAGAAGAAGAAGAAGAAGAAGAAGAAGAAGAAGAAGAAGAAGAAGAAGAAGAAGAAGAAGAAGAAGAAGAAGAAGAAGAAGAAGAGGAAGAAGAAGAAGAAGAAACAGAAGAAGATTTTAATCCATTGTACCTGTTGTATCTACAAATAACTGGTCATAACGACTACGTTTACCTGGATTTCTCTTGACTTGTCCACTGGCCGTTTCTGAAATAATAAAAATTAAAATTAAAATGCTGTTGACTAAAGGTGTCTACTTATTGTTACTGCTGTCAGATAAAATAAACACTTTGTGCTACATGCACGACCCTACAAATGGAATTCTGAAGTCAATATAGTCATGATTGTACTTCTGTTTGTACATTGTTCTTGCATAGTTTACTATCTGCAGTCGGAGCACGAGATCTCATCCTTGGAAGAAAAAAAGAAGTCCACTGAAAAAAAAAAAAAAAGCTACAAAACATATCATAAAAGGCAACTAACTACATGTTTATCTAAATCTGATAAGTAAGAATACAATTCTTCAAAAAGAGGACGAGGGAGAGGGGCAGGAATACCGTTGCGTTGCTGGTAATAACAATGCAAAGTACAAAGCAACCTTTTTATGGGCAACTGCAACAGACGATGCAGCAAAAGAAGAAGAAAAAGAAGAAGAAGAAGAAGAAGAAGAAGAAGAAGAAGAAGAAGAAGAAGAAGAAGAAGAAGAAGAAGAAGAAGAAGAAGAAGAAGAAGAAGAAGAAGAAGAAGAAAAAGAAGAAGAAGAAGAAGAAGAAGAAGAAGAAAGAAGAAGAAGAAGAAGAAGAAAAAGAAGAAGAAGAAAAAGAAGAAGAAAAGAAAAGAAGAAGAGGAGAAGAAGAAAAAGAAGAAGAAGAAAAGAAGAAGAAGAAGAAGAAGAAGAAGAAGAAGAAGAAGAAGAAGAAGAAGAAGAAGAAGAGAAGAAGAAGAAGAAGAAGAAGAAGAAGAAAAAGAAGAAGAAGAAGAAGAAGAAGAAAGAAGAAGAAGAAGAAGAAGAAGAAGAAGAAAGAAGAAGAAGAAGAAGAAGAAGAAGAAAGAAGAAGAAGAAGAAGAAGAAAAACGGAAGAAGAAGAAAAGAAAAAGAAAAGAGGAAGAAGAAGGAGAAGAAGAATAAAGAAGAAGAAGAAGAAGAAAGAAGAAGAAGAAGAAGAAGAAGAAGAAGAAGAAGAAGAAGAAGAAGAGGAAGAAGAAGAAGAAGAAGAGAAGAAGAAGAAGAAGAAGAAGAAGAAGAAGAAGAAGAAGAAGAAGAAGAGAAGAAGAAGAAGAAGAAGAAGACGAAAGAAGAAGAAGAAGAAGAAGAAGAAGAAGAAAAAGAAGAAGAAGAAACAGAAGAAGAAGAAGAAGAAGAAGAAGAAGAAGAGAAGAAGAAGAAGAAGAAGAAGAAGAAGAAGAAGAAGAAGAAGAAGAAGAAGAAAAAGAAGCAGAAGAAGGAGAAAAAGAAAAGCCTGTGTCCATTGCAATTGTAATTCGCAGTTCCGTGGCTAAGTAGTTGAGTAGATGAAAATTGTTGATAACTGACGAGTTTCATGGTTAAAGAGCAAGAGGTAATATAGAAATTGATGCGATTGCTACTTGGCACATTTAAACCAAGAACACAAATCTATCACTTGGACCGGACTCTCAGCGTCATGACACATGTTGCTGATGGTTGCACACTTTGCATGAAAGTAAATAAAAATAATTTTTTTTTCACTTTACACTCACAGTAAAGTCTACCTTCAGAAATATTTCCTATCTGATAAACATCTGCGCAGATTTTCTTATGAAAACAGATAATCTTTAAGCATCAGGGAATTAATTTTTCATGCACCCTGTCGCCTCACTTCTGGTTTTTTGCTTTCTCGTGCACTCAATTAGTGGGATTTTTGTCTAATTATAGCATCTCTTAGAGTGAAACGTGGTTAGATACTTTGTTAACGAGGCTACTCGTATGCTGCAGTTTCAGAAAGTTATGTTCAATGGAAATCAGGACGGTTAGCTCCTTGTAAAACTTCGTCCATCATCATAATCCTGTACCCATCTTCGTGTTAGTCGGCTCCTGCCTCTCCTTCCTGGTACCATGCCTTCTGCTATTATTATTATTTTTTTGTTCTATTTGCCTTGGCGCTTGATATGACCAAAATATTTCAGCTTCCTTGGTTCACGCATGATGGAAATCTGATATAGACATTCATATGTGTGTAAATACAAGGGGCGTTTGGCGGTTGGGTGGCGCAGGGGGTTGGGGTGTAGAACGGTGGTATACCAATGCAAAGAGCGTTGATATATAGACGACGTCTCATTCATATACACGGTCACATATACCCACATATACACGTTGAAGCGCGCGAATGCGTACACACCCCACAAAAACATATACACACCAGACATACACACAAATAAGCAATCACACACACACACACCACACACCACAAATACACAAACACACAGACACACACACAAACTCATACATACACAGACCACATACAAAAAACTAGCACCACACACACACTCACACCACATACACACACAAACTTACACACAACACATAAACTTACATAGCACACACCCGTATATCACATACACTACAAAAACTTACACACACACCCCATACATACACCAGAAATAGACACACACACACAAACTCACCACACACACACACACACACACACACACATAAATACTAGGGACTCTGACACACAGTAAAACATAGGGCGAGGGGCAGGGCTGAATTTCCGTAAAACAATTTTAAAGAAGACAAAAGGCTCAAAGGGCCTAAGCGTTTTTAAGTGACAGTGGCAACAGTACTGGTAGTGTATTTAGTAGTAGTAGTGATTGTAGACGTATTAGTAGTAGTACTGGTAGTGTAAGAAACAGCAGCAACAGTAGTAGTAGTAGTAGTAGTAGTAGTAGTAGTAGTAGTAGTAGTAGTAGTAGTAGTAGTAGTAGTGTAGTAGTAGTAGTAGTAGTAGTAGTAGTAGTAGTAGTATATAAGTAGTAGTTGTGATAGCAAAAGCAATGGTAGTAGTGGTGGTGGTGGTGGTTGTTGTGATGATAGTAGTGTTAGTATTAGTAGTAATAGCAGCAGTAATGGTAGCAGAACTAGTAGTAGTAGTAACGTACTGAGTGGTAAAAATATAGAACAATACACACTGTATACTTGAAATAATATGAAATGTCTAAATGAATCGCAACAAGAATAACTATTATACATGGTCAGGTGGCCGACTGGGCTCTTTGCAACTCTTTTAGGGTGTATGTTACAGTCCCCCCCCCCCCCCCCCCTCCCACCATCTACACATTTGGGAAAAAGGGGGGGGGGACAGGAAGAAAAACAAAAACAAAACCTTCACGCCACCCTATACCTTCAGATACACACAGATGCAGGCTCGCACGCGTTATCGTTTTCAGACTTTGAGCAAATCTGCACATCAGCATTTCAAACTGACGGAACATATTTAGAATAACAAGCTTGAAAAACATGTTTACTTTTTAAGTTCTAAAGAGAAGTGAGAGGCAGCCTTGAGATCTGACTGCTAAATTTAAGACCGTGATGTCAGTTTCTCAGCATTGTTTAAAAAAAAAAAAAAAAAAAACCAAGGATCATTATACAGATGTCTTTTACTTTTAACATCAAGAATCTTCACAAATCTTTATCAGAATCACCAGCCCGCCCCACTCTGATATTATCTGTAAAGTCGGTTAAGATCCCCACTTGTGTTTTTACATCAAAACCCGCAATGACAAGGGTGTTGTGATAAAAATGTTGGCGTTTACTATCCGTCGTTATTCCACTTTGAATCTACGTCGAAAGCCGTAGACTTTATTATCAGCACAATGTCGTAATATTTTATTAGCCTCTCGCTTTAGAGTGCTATGCTTGTTTCAATGAGATATTGAGTTAAAATAATCAGCAAGAGGCTCTGTTATAAATGTAACACCTTTTAACTTTTCTGCCCTATCTTAAGCACTCGATAAATTCCTATAAAAAATCTGTCATTATCTTCAGCACCCATAGCACATCTCAGATTTTAGTGGCACTAGTAGCAGGTATCAATGAAATGAGTATGAAAGGACGGAGACTAGAAGGGCAGAATGTTAGACGGGCTAGCGTGGCCAATTCTTAACCCTCCGAAAATTAAGTTCGTTCGTTCGTTCGTTCCGTCTTGCCTCTCCATTCAGAGCTGAGATTCTCTTTTTGATCCCCGCTGCACCATTCTGTCCAGACCGCGATGATCTATTGGTGATGCTTTCTATCTCATAAATCTTTTAAACATATTTTACATAAAATATAAATGTTCCTGTTGATAAATTAAAGTAAACAGACAACAGGTTACCTGCCTCAGAGGCAGACAGGGAACGAAATCAAAGGGGAGAACCAGAGAACGTAATTGGGGCAGAAAAGCTGGAGTGAATGTGAGGTTGACGGTGTGTTGGTAGTGGTGGTGGTGGTGGTGGTTGGGGGGGGGGGGGGGGGGGGGGAAGGGATAAAAAGTTTAGCATTATGGCCTGGAAAGGCATTGACATCACAAATGATTGACAGTATACGAGACAGAGAAATGCGGACGAAATGACGACCAACGCCATACAGCAAGGACTATAAGAAGAACAAGCAATGTTATTTAGGTAAACATTTCCTTGAGTTAGGTGTGAATATTGTTCGTGAAACATAGTCACCACAGAAATTGAATGTTTTTCTATTTTGCTAGGTCTAACATCTGGCAAAAAACAGCTCTCCGGTGGACAGCAGATGGGAAAAGGAAACGTGGACGACCTAAAGAAACCTGGAATAAGACAACAGAACGGGAAATTATGGATTGTCAACTGACATGGGATACCATGGACAGAAAAGCATCAGACCGGCAACAATGGAGATCACTTGTAAATACCTTGTGTCCACAGCGACATGAAGAGGTATAGAAAAAAAAAAGGTCCAACAAGAAAAGATCGATTAGGGAGTGGTGATACAAGGAGGAGAGTCGGCACAAAACAAATGCTAAACTGTATCTGTAGAAAAATGGACCGCCTCCAGAATATTTCAAGCCAAATCGGCCTTCAGGTCAACGCAGCTAAAACGAAAATCATCGATCTTACCAACGAGTCGAAAGACATCAAACTAAAGGATATTGTTCTTGAAAAAATCACCAGCTTCACATACTTAGGGAGCAAGATAACCTCTGCGGGAGATACAACATCAGAAATAACGACTCGAA